GGTAGTGATGCGCTGTTATATGTATATATATGTGCATGTGTGTGTGTGCTGGTGTGTGTGTGTGTGTGATGTGGTGTGTGTGTGTGTGTGTGGTGTGTGTGTGTGGTGTGGTGTGCGTGTGTGTGTGTTGTGTGTTTGTGTGTTGTTTATATTACAACATGTGAATGTAATACCTGTATAATTGTTAAGATACATATGTAATATTTATGTTTAAACAAGTACAGGAACCTGTATAAAAAGATGAAAAAAAAATCACACATTAAAAAAAAAATAATAATAATAATAATCGTGGTCTCATTACTTGGTCGCTGCCGAGACCTTTGCGCACAGTAACCACCTTGCTTATGCGGCGCTGTTTATGCTCTCTTGGGACAGCGATCCCGGGCATTCCTTTCTTTCTCTTCTGGTTTAATAATAATTATGTTTCAAATATGGAGTAGATTCTGTTACATTTTTATTTATTTGTGAAGATGGAGGAAAGACAAGAGTTACACACAGAACAGAGTCGCCATCGCCGGTGTCCTGCGGGGGGAAGACCTGCCGCCGAGCCCCACACCGTCGGGAGGTCTGCGGGGGCGACGATCACCACACTCGAGGTCGCCACAGGTATTCACAGAGCCCCTGACCACACTCTGCCGTTTTCCGAGACAACGAAGTGGCCTTTGACGTCGTCATCGCCGAAGCCATCGTCGTCGTAAGCAACCAATGACACGCCTACGTGTCCACGAAATTGAGCCGCCCTACGAAGCCCCCTGTCCTACCTCGAAGAGGTCATGCCACGAAAGCCCGCCGCCAACCCCCTCTGAGCTCTCTACCGGCAGGGCCTGCCAAGCTCCCCTCCAGACCTCCCGACAGGCCCCTGGTATCTCCTACTCCGTTATAAGTGGCCTGCATACGCCAGGGCCAACGCCTCCCCCGGGGATCCTCCCCGAGAACCAGAAGCGACGAACTACTACATCACAGGGCCGCATACCCGCCAGACAAGGAGCCCAGAGGGCCAGGGTCGACCGCAGCATGAAAAACGACAGAAGGCTGAAAGCCGCAGCGCCGCCCAGCGCACCGCCTGCGTCCGCCATGGCGAGTTAGCCGAACATGAATACCTATGACGAAGGAACGGTAAGTACGCACCTGGTAATTCTAAGCCTTCAAATTCTAGGAGCCCGTGCAAAAGAAGGCGTATTTTTAATGGGGACAGAGACGGCCCGCGGGCAGTCGACAGCTGCCGCTAAATATTCGCTTATTCTCCAGAGGCATTTGAATGAGCAAGTCTAGATGGTGATAAGCTACTAATGATGCAATTTCAATGACGTTACAACAATTAACACCCTCATCGTATACTTATGACATGCAAATTATATACTATATCTAATACTTGAGAACTTCTACTTGGCATATGTCAACAAAATTACGAAAAAAGTAAATGTGTAATGCACACCGAAGAGACAGTCCCCGAGGACGTTGGTCTTATTTCTTTATCAATATCATTCCATTGTCGTAAGCTTCATTAATGGTTGTTAATGCAAACAACATAAATCGAACAAATTCACAATTAAAATATTCCCAAATTATCACAATTCTCCATAACCGCAATCAAAACGAAAGATAAGTTTCTTACAACTTTTTTTACCACTATCCATAAACCGATAATTCAATCACTGCCACAAACCTAACAAGGGCAGTAGGGAAAAGAACAACAGGAAAACAAAAAAATACAAAAAAAAGCAACGTAACATCGGTCAAAGTTAAACCGGATAATTTTCACAGCTGATCCAAAGCGGCTCCTTACACATCTTCACTTCTTGAGAATGACCAAAAACACCGATATAGAGAACATGATAAGCTTGACGTGAATAACACATCGATTTTCTGAAGCGTCCCAATTATACTTGCGCTCTCGATCTATGCCCTCCCAACCTGCCCACCTCACCTGTCGGTTTGCCCAGCTCCTCCTCCTCCTCACTCCCCTTCTTCTTCTCTTATTCTTAACTAATTTTTTTATTCATTTTATATGTATTTTCCTGCCTACTTCCTTCCCTCCAACCCTTCATTGCTATCGTCCTCTTCTTTCTCCACCAAGGTGTCATCTCTACTCCTCCCCTCCTCATTTATTATCTCTTGTCCATACTCACCTCCTCAACTCCTCCACCTTTTCATGTAACTGCGTTTATTCCTGTAGGAACGGAAGGATGCGAGGTGCCATACCTCGCCTCCTTTATTCTCCTTTCTCTCCTTCCTCCTTCTCTCGCCCCTCCTTCCCTTCAGTCTGTTGATTCTTCTATCCCAAATTCCTTCTCTCTCACATCATATCCCTTCTCCTACTCCCCTCACCACCCTTTATATGCCCTTCACCTTCTTCTTACCTCACTTTCTCATCATCATCTTTCATCGTCTCCTTTCTCATATATCATTTCTTCTTCTTCTCTTTTCTCGTCTCGCTTCGCCTCTACAACACTCACACTCTTACTCCTTGCCATAACACTTCTCCTACTCTCCCTACCCACACTCTCTACCCCTCTTCATCTCTTATTCTTTCATTCTTCTCTTCTCCCTATTCTTCCTTTATCATTCTCTCCTTTCCTTTTGGTTCTTCCATCTTCTCCTTTCTACTGCATCTATTACTTCATCCCCCTCCAATCTCGCATTATCTTAATCGTGTGTCCTTTCACCTAGCTCCTGCGTCACTTCTCTCTTCCCTCCCTTGCTTTGGCATTCTCTTTTCTTTTGCAAATTTTCCGCTTTTTCTCCTCAGCTTGCGATTCGTTACCATGTTCGATTGACCCCTCCCCTCGCGTCCCGACGTCCTAGAGGTACGCACGCTGGCGCCCGCCCTGACGGGCTCGCTGCAGACAGAAAGCGGTGAGCAAGGGGAAAAGATAACTAAGGGGGACAAGGTGTATACTAGAATAAAATATCGATATAAGAAAGACTACTACCCATGTCCACCCTCTACTTATATCCCTCCACCCCTCCATCTCCTACATACCCTTGTCATCCTGCACCGCACTTCCTCTCTCTCACTCCATACACCCCCTCTTACTCTCCATCCTATTGCCCTCTCAACTCCGTGAGCCCCGACTCCTAACTACAGCCCCCTTTTAGCTCAACTCGTATCCAGCCCCCCTCTCTCAGAAAAATAGAAGACCCCCTAATTACTCATCCTATCGATCGCTATTCCTCCTCCTTTCCTTTGTCGACCCTCTTTCGTGACCCTCTTCCTCCTCACTTCCCCTCTCGTAGTTCGGACCCCGCACTCCCCTTCCTCCCCCTCCTCAGCGATGTCCTGTTCCTAGCGCCCCTCCCTCTTATTCCCCTCATCCTCACCCCCTCCTCCGACTCACTCCTTTCTACTGCCCCCTCTATCCCCTCTCCGTTACCCCCTGCCACTCCCCCCGACACGTCACTCGACCTGCTCCGTCTTCCCTCCTCTCCACTTCTCCCTGCAGCCTTCCATGACTCATGACCCCTCCTCGCACTTTCTACCTTGCCCCCTCTTTGCACCTACCTCATCCAGCCACTACCCTATCTTGAATCACTAACCGGCTCCACCACGCGATTTTCCCCACACATCTCTCTAATGCACCCCCTCCATCCACATCATCCCTCCTCCCTGAAATGCGCGTATGAGTGGGTAGACAAAAAAGGCCCTCAAGTAAGAGCCTTTGCAACCTGATCTCCAATCCTTTGTTACAACTACCACTACAGCCATCTCGTACCGCCCTCTCCGTCGTGGCCCCGCCAAGTCCGCCCTGCCTCCTTCCACATATCCACCATCTCCATACCCCCATCCTGACCTCTCTGTCCTACCCTCGGCGGTGTAATGTATGGAGTCCTACCAACTTCCTCGTTGCCTCCGTCCCCAACCCCTTCCTCCTCCTCCAGTCTCCTCCCCCTCGTGCTCTCTCAGCACCTCGCCCATCTCAATACCCCTCACATCATTCCCACATTCCGCTCCTCTGTCCTGCCTTCCCTCCGTAGCTTCCCCTCTCCTCCCCCTCTCCTAGACTTAAATCACTTCCCCAAGATAGGAGATGCAGAAATCCAGTTTCATACCTACACTTTTTCTCAGCAGCTGAAGTGACGGAATTTTCTTTGCGCAATTGCAGTCGTAGACGTAATAGTTTGCTTATGCTGGCTCGCCTATTCTATGCAACTGTAAGAGCTATCCTGTAACAAAGTGTGTAAAATTAAAGTTAAGTAGGTGTAGAATCTGATTCAATAGTAATTCTAATACACAGAAGCAACAGAACCACAGTAGGATAGCAGTTAGTGTATTCATGGAGTTACACCTATGTTGGAATTATCATGAGAAGTTATATTACAGGAGTTCAAATTGGTGAGTGGATATGATTAAATTATTGAAATGACTGTGTAGACATAGATCGGATGAGAAGATGACAGAGAAAAAAACTGAAGTCATTAGCGTGACTAGTGAGTAATGAGTGTCTTTAAATGACAGTCGTGTCATGATACTAGAGGTACGCAGATAAAAAGATAATAACAAGATGCATAAAATAGTGTCGTAATTAACAGCAGTGTGATCATTATACGAAGTATAAAACGACAGAGATTAACGAGCTGATGCTGAGAGTTCAGATCGGAATCTATAATGAAACCTATGAATAATTCTTAACAATGTAGACATAATAATGGCGATGATAATCCAACACAATAGGTCATGAGACATAACTAAGTTAAAAAGTGTTACAAATTTACGTGATTGTATGAAAAATTCAGATAGACGACAAGGTATGCATGAGCTTATATATACAGCCGAATTAGGATGGAGTTCAGAGAGTCTAGACAAACGAGTCATGCGTAATCGCCTCTTGTAGCACATCTCATCCTGGTTACTGATTATATCTCATGAGTTATTTTTGACGATACAACATTTAAGTCCCTGAACAGAATACGAGCGATAAAAGGACAGGGAGTATAGTATATAGGTGTATATACTCTTCGCTACAGATGTAACATCATTCTGACCACCCCACGAGACTATAACGAATCGATCGTCGTCTGCCTCCACGACCCAGGCAAAGTGAGGTAGTCCAATTGTGAAGCAATACTGAGAGAGAAGGACGATAGACACAGCAACTGTAAACAATAAACCGCTCAAAGAACAACCTAGCATAATATGGAGACACACACCAAAGAACACACTACACACAACACCAGACGCAGCATATATCACTCAACTGGTACAGATCCCTATAGCATGCATTAACACATAACACTCATAATGGTCATACAACATTTAAAACCACAAAAAATGGAGAAATAGATTGCGCAATCATCAGAGGCGTAAACACACCACGAACGACATTTTGCGATTCTACTGTAGAATTGCAATCGGAAAGTACAAAGCAGACGGTGCGATAGAGCCAGTCG